TTGGCATTACGCCTATGATGGCACCACCTCGTGGTTTGAGTATGAACAGTTGATTGACGACTGGTGCGACATAACAACGCTGGATGACAACAAAAGAGGTCCGCCAAGACGAGGCTCTCCGGATTGGCCGCAGTGCATTGAACCGTGAAAGGCTTGCAGCCCCTGATGGAGTTGATTACTTCAAGAAGAAGATGCGTCCATTCTTCGTGAAGGGAGAACAGTATGTTTTCCTGTGGCGATTCCTTGGCCTTGCAGCGCCTGAGAAATTCTTGGATGGATCTCTTACCAGAGATAAATCTGGAAGATGCCAAACCTGACTTTCTCGCTGCAGTACGCCAAGATCCAACCTTCATTCGCCTTCAAGATGCTAACGAGCAGGAATTGTTCGCCGCACGTTATTTTGAGACGTGGAACAAGGAACGCCTTGATGTGCATCGTAGAGCGTTTCCGTTGAATGATAATCTCCTAGCTCTCCTGTTTCTAGTGCAGTCCGACCTGAATGAGACACAACGAGAGGTTGGTATCAGCATTGACCAACCAAGGTTACCGAATTGAGACCTACACGTACCCCATAGGCATGGACGGAGAGACCAACGCCGCAAACGAGGAGGCAACTTCTTCATCCTTGATCAGGGTGAAGGGTGGCAAGCGAAAAGGACGTGGCCGTTTTAGGTCACACCGGAAAAGGAGAGCCAACCAGGCAGAACATGATCCAACCGATTCCGGCTATTTCGGTAAAGGAAAAGGAAAGGATAAAGGACAAGGTGGAAAAGGCAAATGGAAAGGAAAAGGAAAGGAAGACAAAGGAAGCTCTTTCAAAGGCACAAAAGGAAAGGGCAAAGGTAAGGATACAGCCAAGTCTGCCTCCTTACAAGGAGATCAAGCAGCATCTCCGCATGCCTATGAAGGCTCCAGCACACCGAGCTGGGATTCATGGTACGAGGACAGTTACTATACTGACTCCGGTTGGAATTATGCCGTTTACGACGAAAATACGTCTTACACATACTATGCACATGCCTCAAAACGGAAAGCACGGAAAAAGAAGAGAAAGAAGAGAGTTATCTGCCTTTGGCGCATGATGAACGTCAAGGGCCAGGTGTGGAGACTGCAACAGCAGTGTTTCCGTTGCAGCACACCGTCCTATCTGCTCAAACATAGGAGCGGATCAATCTTGATCGAAGCTCTACCTTTGTCATTCTTGACTCAGGTTGTACAAGGGCCATGGGATCCCGCTATGCGGTGAATCGGCTTATCAAGGCCGTTAAGCAACATGCTCCAGGCATGATTGATTTCACTTTCTCACCTTCGAACACGAAGTTCTCACTTGCAGATAGTGAAACAGCTCTTATCATTTAACACAACTCCCAGACGGGATATACCGTAGAGGTGCTCGATCAAGGCAAGGTTCCCATTCTAGAAGCTTTTAGTCTTTACAAGACCCCCCTTCCGATCAGTACCAATAATCACTTGGTGCTAGATCTTCTGAGCTTCACTTCCACAAGGAAGCATAATCCTCCTCTTCTTTTCAAGCAACAGAAACAGCCTTAGGAGCCAAGAAGCCAAAGGAAGATAGGCGATCTTACACAAAGATCCCTGAAGGTCGTTGTCCCGCCTGTGCAGGACAAAAGAAGCCTCACACTTTCCTGAAGGGATGTGATAAAGCACCGGAAGGTGCACCGGATCCTCCACCCAAGGGCATTCCAGGCAAAAAGAAAGCACCTCCACCAGACTCCGCAGAATCCTCTGCTAGAAGGTCTGATCCACCAGAACCATCTGGTGACCTCACCAGCAGGTGAGAGAGACAATGGAGAAGAGATTGTGTCTGAACCGGCACCCTCTCTTCAGATTGCCCTTCGTAGGATTCATGAGAAGCTCAAGGATCCAGTTGAACTTTATAAGCTTCATCTGAAGCACCGTCACATGAATACAGATCAGTTCAAAAGAAGGACTAAGGCTCTTCAGATTCCAAAGGAAATTTACGAGCTTCATGACCAACTGGTCAAGAAGTGCTCAGCTTGTCAGGAACACAAACGAGCTCCTTCAAGGGCAAAAATATCAGGTCTAAGATCCGAAACTTTCGGGGATCTAACTTTCGTAGACCATGGCGAATTGCCAATTCCTGGCAAGTCTAGTCGACTCATATTTCTCATACTCTATGATGGAGCGACAAACCTCCTGACGTCTGAAGTTGTTCAGGATAAGGAGGAACATACAACAATGTCCATCATGAACGATTACTTCGAGAAATATCAGATCAACCCAAAGGTTGTTGTTGGAGATCAGGCATTTATGACTCCAAAAATGGAAGCCTATTACAATCGTCAGAATATCAAGCCTGTAGCAACAGGTCCTGGTACTCCATGGCCCAACAGGGCCGAGGCAGCTGTTCGATTGTTAAAACATCAGATAAAGATCATACTTCAGATTCTCAAGGATGGTGATCCTGAGTACAATGGTATAACCATGAAGTATGGTATGGCAATTTAGTGCGTCAGGCATGCTTGGCAAGGAATTCCTCAATTACTGTTTATTATTTTGCCTCCTAGGAAACCCCAAGCAATTTATCTTGATTTGCTTTATCGTATTTCATGCACTCATGTGTTTCACATTGTGATTGTGCTATACTCCGCAGGCGTCTTTGAGGATTCAAAACATTTTCGTAGCGGAGCTTGGGAAAGCCCAAGCTTCGAGACACGTCTTGGGGTTCCTTTGCACTTTGCTCTGCGGGGTGCTTTCGGGGAGCCCAGGCTTTGGAAAGAGAGTTCTGGACCTTTGGGGTTTTTTCGCTTCTTCGGTGAAAGTAGGGCGCAGACCTCGCTCCCAGCGAGACGAGTATCGTAGCCATTGGGACGCGCCTGTGTGTGCTCAAACAGGGCAAGAATCGAGGCCACACTATAGATCCGCCGCTCCTACCGAAAGTGGTCACTTGTTTGCATCGCACAGGCGATCGATGCATCAAAATGAGCACGAGCACGCAAGAAGAGTGAACTGTCCAGATCTCGCACCGCCATTGCAGAAGAAAAAACCAGCGACGCTATATGAGGTGGTCTTCGTGACCTGGACCAGCCGCATTTGGCCGGTTGCAACCTTTTCCGTCTGGAATTCAGCTTGGATGCGGAAAGAGCGGACTGAGGGTCGAAGTCTGCCCGTTACCATTCTGCGTTCCGGCTTCTCTTGCTGCAGTAGAGGAAGTGAAAGAGAGATTGCACAGCCTTTCGTTGAGCAGCTTTGCGAACGGCCCCGTCCCGAGGGCAGATCTGGTTCTTCTTGGGATAAGATTTTATCAACCTACAGGGGGGTAGCCTTTGAGCGGAGACTTGAGAAGTTGCATACGGTTGAGTGCGTGTGGAATTTTGCGACCAAGTGTTTGAAGAAACAACATTTGAGAGAAGTTTTTGAGGCATTCGCACCTGAAGACGTTGCTGAGAATTGCATTTCGGAGGAGTGAGTTGGATTGATTTCCTTGAATTTCTTGATCAAACAAAGAAGAGATGGATCCGCAAGGTCAGAATGTGCATGAGGGGCCGCAGTTGCCCCAGCAGCCGGCAGGCAATGCAGGTGTTGAGCCGCCAGTGGCTCAGAACCCGTCCTCGCCAGTTGGGCAGGGACAGCAAGCACCACAGCAGTTTATGCAAATCGACATGACACAGATACAGTTGCTTATGGCACAGATGGTTGAGATGGCGCAAGCAGCGTCGCAGGCTGCTCAGGCAGCCGTTGCAAGGCCTTCGAGCAATTTGACTTCGGGATTTTCGGATGCGAATAAGATTCTCAATCGCCCTTCGGAACGACCTTGCAAATTGGTCTGAATGGAGCCACTCCTTCAGAACATGGTTGGTTTTTGCAGAGTCAGTTCGAACAGGACTTGAAGCTTGTGGAGGATAACTTGCAGGGCCCTGTTGATCTAACTGGGGCATCTCCGGATCGCATTGTAAGGTCTCAGAGGCTCGCGATCTTGGCAAGCATTCTGTGTTCGAAGCCAAAAGCGATTTTGCGTCAGGTCGGCAACAGAAACGGCCTAGAAGTCTGGCCTGTGCTCACCAACACTTTCGCACCCAAATCGAAATTCAGAGGACTGGCTCTTTTGAACGCTCTTATGACGCTCCTGAGCTTCGGGAAAGATCGCAGCCTGCGAGAACACATCCAAGATGGAGGTTGATGCGCTTCAAAGAAAGGGGCCAAAGGGCAAGAACAAAGGCAAAGATGGCAAAGAGCGCAAAGGCAAAGGTACAGCAACCGCAGAATTCTTATGGTGGCAAGGGCAAGGGCAAAGATGGCAAGCCAAAGGGCAAGAACAACAAAGGCAAGGAGCACAAAGGCAAAGGTGGACAGCAGCTGCAGAATCCTGGTGCCAGGGTTCCCGTGCAATGTAGTTTGTCACAATTGCCAGCAAGGGCCATTATGCTTCTGAGTGCTGGCGTCCGAGGGTGCAGTCAGGCACAGGGTTCAGAGACAGCGTCCACCGTTGGGGCGCCAAGCACAGTCGGTCCGTCAGCATCGCAGGTTGCAGGCAGCACGGCTACCACAGCGAAGCGTGTTGCGAGAGTTGAGATTGACATGACTTCCAGTGCGTTTCAGGATGATGATGAGAGCAGCGGTCACGTGTGTGTTTTGACAAAAGTGTGCACTGAGGACTCAGCCCAGCCTAGCTTTGCTTCCCTGTGCAAATCATTGGCGTCTGCAAGCGTTGACCCTTTGAAGCCACATGTTCTTGTGCCGGTGCCAGAAGCTGAAGTGTTTGACATGTCATATTCAGACAGTGACTGTGTCCGAATGAGATGCGTGAAGCCGCCTGTGTGGGCTGTTTGAGCAGTGCACGAGAGTATGTGACATGCAGGGCCCCAGCCCGCAACCGTGCGAGGCCAGGTAGGCGATCACGGCAGCCATTGCAGTGCGAGCCGACGGTGCACCCGTGCGAGAGTGCCGCTGAGCATCTTGTGAGCCCACCTGTGCATCCACTGCAGGACCTTCGTGTGTGTGCCGTGTCATGGGCAGACATGAGCAACGAGATTGAGGTTGTGGTCGACTCCGGGTCGGATGCCTCATGCCTGCCACTGTCTTGGGCACACGTTGGAAGGGCTGATGGAGCGAGCCTTGATAGTTTCAGGGATGCCCAGGGTCGCATGATTAGGGGTTCGCAAATGCGTACGGCAGTGCTTCAGATTGACGGTGTTCAATTTAAGGAGCGGTGGCTGTTGAGCAGTGTGACACAGCCGCTTTTCAGTGTCGGCAAGTTGCTCAGGCGGGGATGGGACATCATCCACAGTGACGGTGTTCCTTACTTGACAAATCCTGGGGGCACAGTGCGCGTGCCTATGCACTACCGGCACAATTCCTTGCATGCGCGAGGCTCCATCATGAGCGTGGTAGTGTGTGCCAACGACTGTTTGAGCGATGAGAGAGAGGACGATGCGGCCCGACACCACGAGCCTCAGGAAGCCGAGCCTGATGATGAGCAGGTGCGCGGCAACGACCAGCAAGTCGAGGTGCCCCGGAGTGCTGAAGCAGACAGCCCTGTTGCGGCTGCGGTGCGTGCGCTTAAGCTTGGCAGTGCATGGCTGAACCTGGGTAGCCAATACACCGAGATGCAGCCTGGAATCTTTGCTAGGCAAGATCAGTCGGATCGGTTTCTTGATGTGTCAGTGCCTTTGAGCCACCATGGAGTGAGCTTCCGCACTACCCTTCAGTATGACGGTGCTGAATGGAGACTGATTGAAATCAACTGCATGATCAGCCTCTTCGATGATCTTGAGAAGGAGTTTGAGCCTAAAGGGTCCCGCCACATCATCACCATCGGCTCTGTTGATCCTTTGCAAGTTGAGAAGCTGTTTGATCAGCAGCATGTTCCGTGGAATGATGAAAGTTATGATGGCGAGTATGCCGATGCACCGCCTGATGAAAGCATGATTGAGGAGGATGAAAATGCTGAGGATGATGACGGTGGCGGTGTAGGACCTGTGCCTCCCGCCGAAGTTCCTTCCCAGGGTCATGTTGTGGTCAATGGGGTTGAGTTGCATCCCGGGTGTACCCTTAAGACCCTAAGGTCGGCCTGTGAAGTTCTTGGAATAGGCAAGTCTGGAGGAAAGGCAACGGTCTTTACGAGGATCGAGCAACACTTGAAAACCCAGGAGTTGCTGCAACAACATGCTTTCCAGACTGATGGTGTGCCATTGCCTCTTGAACAAAAGTTTGTCGAAGAGCCAACTGCAGAGCAGAAGCGTCGCCATGAGCTCAGCCATGTGCCATTTGCAGATTGGTGCCCGCACTGTGTTAAATTCCGCGCCAAAGCCGACAAGCATGTGTCGAGCAAACCCGAGCTGCGTGATGATTCCGTGTGCAGCTTTGATTTTGCTTATACAGGCCGGAGCAGCCCAGCTGAGTTTGAAGGTGCATCAAAGGACAAGCTTGTTTGCCTTGTGTTGAAAGACTCCCACACAGGAGCGATGCATGCTGTGCCAACGCCAGCCAAGGGCGGACCGGTTGCATTCAAGTATCTTGTTGCCGAAGTTTGTCGGTTCTTGAATTACTGTGGGCACGAGTCCGTCACGATCAGGTCTGACGGTGAGCCAGCTTGCTTAGCACTTCAGCAGGGCATCAAAGCTTTCAGGACCAAGATGGGGTTGCGAACCCACTTGGAACAGACTGAGCCAGGTGATCACCAGTCAAATGCTTCGGAACAGGCCATTGACAGCATTCGGCAGCTTGCAGGATGCATTCTTGATCAGTTTGAGGAGCGTGCTCAGACAACTGTAGGTGCAATGCACCCAGTGCACGCGTATGCTTGGAGACACGCTGCCTGGCTTCACATGCGGATGTCACGGCACAACGACCTCAGTGCGTTTCAAGTGATCAATGGCAGGCCATATGCGGGGAAACTTGTTTGCTTCGGAGAAAATGTCTACGCAAGGGTTAAAAGCAGTGTCAAAGGAAAAGCACGCTGGTGCAAAATGCTTTGGCTTGGAAAACTTCCTGTGTCGGACCTACATTTTGGGGTCACCGAAGGAGGATTCATGCTGTCCTCAAGGTCCGTTAGACGGTTGCCAAAGCAATATGATTCATCCTTGTGTGCCAAGCTGCGGGACATGCCATGGAGCCAAGCATCTTTTCTTGCAGGCCAAGTTGGTCAAGCACGTAAGCAGAAAACGCTTGAGGGTGATGAGGGTGCCGGAACCGAGCCTCAGGTTGAGCAGCAAGCCGAAGTGCCTCCACAAGCAGGTGCGGCGGAGAATCCTTTGCCGTTTCCGGGTCATCTGTTGCCCGACGATGCAATGCTGCAAGAGTTTGTGCCACCGCTGCCCCGAGAGCCAGTGTTGCATTCACCTGAGCCGCCCACGCCTGTAGCGGCCACTCCAGGGCAGCAAGCAGAAACGCCGATGCAAGTTGAAACGGCCTCGCCACTTGTGTCGTTCGATGATGGGCCTGGGATTGCTTCTTCGTCCTCTGGGATAGCACGTCCTGCGACTGAGGAAGCAGGCGGGGAAGCTCCAGCCCGAAAGAAACTTCGTCTTGATGCTGTTCAGACAAGTGCACATGATTGTGAAATGTTCCATCACGATGAGGCTCCCGAGCTTCTTGATGAAAGTGCAGAGCAATTTCTTGATTGTGCGGATGAGTCCATGTGGGACACTGAGGATTGGGCTGATGATTCAGCCAATGCGCCTGACATCCCTAGCATTTTGATTAAGCCTTTCAGTGAAACTGAGCCAGTGTGCGATGCATCCGAGCTTGAAGCCATTGATGCTGCAGCAGATTCCTTTGAGCTTGATCGGTTGACGAAAGCCGGTGTTCTTGAACAAAGTGAGTCCTGGCTTGAAGGGCATCGGACATTGTCTTCCAAGTACGTCCGCACATGGAGGCCTAAAGTCATCAAGGGAGAGCGCGTTTGGTTGCGCAGAGCCAGGCTGGTTGCGCGAGAATTTGCGCATTTAGATCCGGGCAGGCAGCACTTGTTTGCACCGACCACGACCCAGTGCATGCTGAGAATTGTTCCGTCACTTTTCATTCGCAACTTTGGGGACGGCTGGTCCCTGCTGAGTCTTGATGTATCCGACGCTTTCTTGCAGTGCAAGCAACAGCATGATGCCTTGACAAAAGTCGATGGAAAATGGTATAAACTTTTCCGAATGCTGCCTGGGCAAAGGGACGGATCTGCTACCTGGTTTCAAGATTTTATGTGTGAAATACGTGCAGCTGTTGCTGCTGAGCCGTTGGCAGAGCAACCAGTGTTGTTTCGCATCCCGCATGCGGAAGGCAGCCACATGTGCCAAGGAGGTGGAATGGTGCATGTAGATGACATGCTTGCAGCAGGATTGACTGCGCGCCTTCAGGAGCTTGAGAATCACTTGAAGTCAAAGTTTAAAGTGTCCAGTGAATGGATCCGCCAAGTTGGTGACGAGGTTTCCTTCTTGAAGCGGCGACTGATTTTAGTCAGCCCCAATTTGCTGGTTGTTGAACCTGACATCAAATATCTTGAGAAACTCTTGAAAATCACTGGACTTGATGGTGCCAAGGAGCGGTACAAGGCGGCCCCGTTCCCGACTGGAGGCCTGCCGACAGACCTTTCATCGGACCGCGAGCTGAACTCAGAGTCAGCATCAAAGTATCGCTCAGCACTTGGTATCCTAATGTACCTTGCTTCTGACCTGTTGGCGTGTCAATTTGGGATTCGGTTCTTGTCCACACATGCTCACAAGCCTACCGAAGGCTGCTGGAAGTTACTGAGGCATCTGACTGCCTATGTGAATTGCCATAAGTCACATGTGCTTGGTTTGGCAAAACCCCAGCTTGGGCAAGGACTGATCTGCAATCGCGTGTCTGAGCAGAAAACTTCTACCCTCGAAATGTTCTCCGACAGTGACTGGTCCGGGGATAAGAAGACGAGGAAGTCAGTATCTGCATGTTGCATTCTTTGGGACGGGCAGCTGCTTCATTCGAGCAGCCAAACACAGAAGGTGATCAGTCTTTCTTCATGTGAGGCTGAGTACAACTCCCTTGTGGCTGGTTCGGCAACTGCTATCCTCCTTAAGAATTGCATCATACACCTGTGTCCGGAACTGCATATTGCGCTGACATGCTTGTGCGACAATGCAGCAGCGCGGTCTCTTGGCAATCGCCAAGGAGTCGGACGGACTCGCCACATCGACGGAAAGCTGTTATGGCTACAGCAGATGACTCAGGAAAAGATGCTGGACATTTCACCGGTTGGAACCGCAGAGAATGTTGGTGACCTCCCCACGAAACCTCTCAAGCCGGAGAGAGTTGAGTTCATTCTTGCACGCTTGAATGTTCGTGACAAAGACTGCGGCTATGCTTTGGTTGGGAATGATCACTTGCTTGACCACAGGACGCGACACCATGTGAGTCGTGTTGTGAAGCGAGGAGCAGTGAACCCACAGCTTGTGCTTCAGATCCTTGCATTGGCTTTGCAAGCAGATTCTGTCGCCAGTGCCGATGATGAGCCCAATACGCATCGCGATGACGCCTTGAGCCAGGGGACTGGCGAGCACGGTTACGGGGAGATGTTTTGGAATTTTCTTGAACAGTTGCTGTATGCGATTTTCTTGATTGCAGATTTCCTTGCAGAGCATCCCATGCCGAGTTTTATCGTGAGCCAATGCGTTATCATTGCAGTGCTGTGTGGTATCTTCTTGTGCCGTGGAAACAGGCCAGAAAGGTTGCATGAGAAAGCAAGTGAGGCAGCCGCGAGCAGCGATGGCAGCGCGCCGCAGGTGATGCCGGGTGTGTGCGTCAATGTGACGGTCGAGGGAGCCAAAGTTTCGGTTGATAGTGTAGTCCCGAAACCTGCCGAGAACCCTAATCCTTGCGCCTTGGCCAGCCCTAAGAGTACTGCCGGGCCGTGCAGTGCGAGTGTGCTTGGACAGAGCAGCGGCCGAGCTGCTGATGACCATGATGCTCCCGACCCGACAGCGCGATCATCCAATGGACCTGCGGTGCAGCCAAAAGCGCCGGTGCAGCCGAAAGCACCGAACCCAGCAGTCACATATGCATCTGTACTTGACCAGCGTATCAGAGATGAGCTTGATCAGCAGACCGTTTGGGTGACCAAGTCGCGTGGTTATGCATACCATGGCCGCCGGAGTTGCGGCAACTTGCATAACGCCAAAGCCCTTGAGCGCCTTACACGTGGAGAGGCAGTGCGACGAGGCTTTAAGCCATGCAAAGCTTGCTACGGTGGCTGACTTGTTATAATGCTCTTGATGCGCCAATCCTTGAGTGCGCTGCTTCGGGCAGTGCACTGATCGGTTGGATTCTTGTACAAAGGCTGCTGGCAACGACGATTGTGCATAGTCTTGTGTTTGAGCAAAACATGACAGGACTTCGAAACAGCATTTTGCTGTCAATCTCGATTCACTTACGAACCACTTTGGCAGCTGTGGAGCAGCTGCGAGTCCGAATGAGTAGGCTCACGAGCCACTCGATGCAATTAGGCATCGCAATCCTTGTGCTGATCCCTTAGGAATCATGCTTCAACGTGGTGTGGCAGCTGCGAGCTGCACTGATGCCACATGCGCCTACGCTTGGGTGAGTCAAGCTATCGTCTCGTGGGCGGCCCGCGCCCTCAGAGACGGTGTAACCTAGTCGTAGATGTACAGTTCTACGTAGTCGAACAACGTATCGAGCCAACGACCTTTTGGGGCAGTGCTCATGAAAAGTAGTCTGTGAGTCGAGTGCAATCGTGAACTAAGCAAGCTGTTGTTTCGTACGGGGTGAGGCAAACTAGATTATGCCGAAGACTTCAACCCGCGAGCTCAATGAAGCTTCGTAGGCGGGGTGTTTATTATTTTGCCTCCTAGGAAACCCCAAGCAATTTATCTTGATTTGCTTTATCGTATTTCATGCACTCATGTGTTTCGCATTGTGATTGCGCTATACTCCGCAGGCGTCTTTGAGGATTCAAAACATTTTCAATTACGTACGGTGGAGTTACTCCTTTGGAAATGGCCTTCGGAAGGCGTCCTAGGGATGTAATAACACCTGAGAATTCCGACCCTAACCAGCTAACAGGTAACCCCAGTGATACCGAGGTTACTGCAAGAGCTATCAGGGAACTTGCCAACAAGGCCTATCAAGAAGCACGACAATCTGATGATCTTCGGAGAGACCTAGCGTCTCGATTGTCTATGACCGAAGGACCTTTCTCCCTTGGAGACAAGGTCTATTACTGGTCGGAAGACAAATCCAAAATTGGATCGACTGGATCCAAACATGGATCTTGGCTCAAAGGAAAGGTAATCTCTGATCTTGGAGGTTCCATGGTAGGTGTTGACCTTGGAACACGTATTGTCCGTGTCAACATCTCAAAACTGAGAAAGAACTATGACATTACCTCTGATGTTGAGATCCCTCTGGCACCAGATGAAGAGACATTGACATCTGAAGGTTCAGATCATGCAAGTTGCATGGTGACCTTTGATGCTTCTCTGATCTCACAAGATCTAACAATACCACACTATGAGTTCAAAACTTCTAAGAATCATCAAGGAACAAGAACCTACCATCATTGTGATGTCTCCAGACCATTCCCAATGGTCCAGCTGGTACTCCCAGTGGAAGAAAGGCTCTAGCAAGAGACTTTCGATTCTTAAGTTTTGTGAATCTATAGCAGATCACCAGATGAAACTTGGACGATACTTCGTTCTAGAGAATCCTTATTATAGCAAACTCTGGTCTACGCCAGAGGCCAAACGGTTGTTTTCTAACCGAAAGGTTAGCTATGAAGTGTGCAATCTACAGGCCTATGGTATGCAAGATCCAAAAGGATACTATGAGTCAAGATCATCAATTTTCATGCATAACCTGCCACAGCAGGTGTTAACTCCTATACATAGGAATTGTCCAAGGCCGAAATCTCCAACCTCTTCACCCAAAGGTGAAACGGGTATTCAAGGCTACGGTCTTAAAACTAAGCTGGCGCAGGTGTATCCGTACGAATTTTGCGAGACCTTTGCCTCATGCATGGCAAGGTTTCTGCGCCGGGATTCGTATGCATCGCATCTTTCCCTGCTCACTGATATCTTGCAGTACTCAGGAGACGAATGTCTCCATGGATTGTGTGATTTGCTCGACCAGGAGTATTCGCTCTTGACCATTAATCCTCTCAAGGATTCTAAATTGCTGCAAGATCCAAAAATCCGATCACTTGTGACCAGGGTTAATTCTCTCTCGAGTAAAACTGAGTTGCCACTGCATCATTCCAAACCATCACCGTCCCTTGATGCGTTGGTATCAGATATTACTCACCTGAGATCCAGACTTTTGCCAGGATCTGGCTTTGAGCAATGTACTCTTTACAGAGGCACTTTTGGAACAATGAAAGCACTAACAAGTGTTACTGATGGCGTCCTTGTTTTCTGGAACAAGAAGCGACCAAACCAGACAATCACCTGTTGTCTTCCGCATCAGGTGTCGTGGAACAAAATGCACCCAACAACATTCTCGGGGGTGCTGTTTCAAATGACCGGTGGCAAATCTTCACCTTCTGTCCGACCTCCACCGGATGTCATTATGTCTGAAGAAGAAGTCTCGCCATCAGATCCGTCAGAGCCGATGAGTACCAACAGGTCTCGCGTGACGTCTGACGATGCCTCAATGCCGGAGCCAGATCAACCTATGTCTCCTGGCGTTCCTCCGTCGCGTCCTCCTCCTCCTCCCTTACCTCCACCGCGACTTCCGGCCGTTTCCTCTGATGAGCCCGTGGCTCCTGCTCGGGCTAAACCTCGCCTACATCCGCCTCCTCGCGAGCCGTCTCCTCGGCGTCTGGGGGGTGATGTGTCGCCAAGGTCTTCATCGGAAAGGAAAGTTTCGCCGCACAAACAGAAGTCACCTCCACAAGTGCCTACTCCAAAGCCTAAGCCAAAGGCGGCACCGCAACGGTCAGGACCGATTCTCCCATTGCAACAGGATGAAGGAGAATCCTCTGAAGAGATGGTTCCCGATGATCCCGGACAACCGTCCGTCCTTCCTCACACGTCAGGTTCCCCTGAACCGGAGAGTGATGCTGAGTCTGACGACACGAGGTACTACTCTGATGAGGAAGGTGATCTTGTTGTGGATGAGAAGGACTGGATTCTTCTATCTGAAGAACAGAAACTGTGTAGTAACACAGGATCCTTCTCGATGCCGCGCTATATGCATGGCGGCCCTGTGGACATCAGAGAGGTAACCTCAAGAGTGAGATCGGACCGAACACGGTACAGACCTTCCAAGAAGATTCGATCCGATATCCGTGAAGAGTATGATCTCTTAACGGAAGAGGATAAAGCCTTATCTGTGAGTCCTTATAGGAACTCATCCAATCTTACCCAGAAGGCACAACGGAAGGAAGCGACCGCTAAGGAGAAGCGAGAAATGAAGAAGCAGTTCGACGAAGCAAAGGCAGCTGAGTATCAGAGCTGGCTGGACAATGATGTGTTTGAGCTTGTAGATACACGCAAGCTCGGAAACATCCGAAATTATGTGACAGGTCGATGGGTCCTAACTCTAAAAAGAGATAAGGACGGAAACTTTCTGAAATGCAAGGCCCGTTGGGTTTTACGAGGTTTCCAGGATCGACAAAAGGATATCCAGCAAACTGATAGTCCTGCCGCTAGTCGTCCAGGCTTCCGTTTGGCGATTCAATTGGCAGCTAACAAGCTGTGGAATCTGACGCACATTGATCTTAAGACCGCCTTTCTGCAAGGTGAGGCATACGATGAGTCTCGCGACACCATCTGCCAGATCCCTCCTGAGGCAGGCTATCCTCCTTATATAGCTGCGAGGATGAAGAAGCCCGCCTACGGACTGAATGATGCACCTCGCAGATGGTGGAACATAGTAGACAAGGCACTCTTGTCCTACGGCCTTGTTCCGACTCGTGCAGACCGTTGTACATATGTCTTGTATGGTAAGAAGTCTGCAACAGCAGAGGCGGAACTTAAGAAGTCCCAGCCGAAGTCAATGGAGTCAGCAATCGACTATCTCCTTGATCCCATAGCAGGCAATAATGCCAAGGGTAGAGAAGTTCATGGAGTAGTCTGTTTGCACGTAGATGATCTGTGCATGGCCGGTGATGACACCTTTCGTAAGGCCGTGATCGATTCGATCAAAAAGGAGTTTGCAGTAGGTTCTGAGGACACAAACGATATTATGTTTGTAGGACAAAGACTAGTCTGGAAGGATGCAACAGCATCTGTACCAGCTCACATTTCTGTGAATCAGAACCTTGCAGTTGAGGCCTTAGAAGAAATTGTGTTTGACAAGAAGCTCAACAATGAGCAGCCATGTACACCACAACAGCACACTGCATATCAAAGTGTTCTTGGTCAGATCAATTGGCTACAAAGCCGGACCCAAGCTCACATTTGTTACCGTTTCAGCAGGTGTGCAAGCAAGGCTGCCAAGCCAACAATAGGTGACATCAGAGAATTGAACAAACTTGTTCGAATCCTCAAGGCCACTGAAGTAGAATTACGTTTTTGGCCGCTGAAAGGAAACCTTCGTATTCTAGGCTATCCGGATGCTTCCTACAGGAACAATGATGATAAATCATCACAGAGAGCTCATGTCATTTTTCTTGCTGAAGAACGTAATCCTAAACTGAAGGGCGTGAAACAGTCCGCCGCAGCAACTTCTTCCAAGAAGAATGATTTCTCTGAGTCCTCCATTAAGGAAACATCCTCACGAGGTAGCCTGGTAGACTACGAATCTCACAAGATTACTACAACGACAATGTCCACTACGGTGGCAGAGCTAAACGCACTCATGCGTTGCTTTGGTACCTGTTTGTTTCTTAAGGGACTCTGGGCAGATCTCTCATCAGAGACAGTGCCCATACACATAAGAACCGATGCAAACAATTTGGTTACTACTGCGGGCACAACTCATCTTCCGGAACAGAAGGAAACTCATCATCTTATTCAGATGCTTCGAAAGGAGTCTAACTCTGGTTCCTTGGATGATTTGGCTCACGTCAGTTCGAAATATTGCCTGGCAGATGCCCTTACGAAACACTCAGCACAACCAGATGAGCTGATCAAGGCTCTAGAAACAGGGAATCTTCCCGAAACTGACATACATCCTCCATTTCGAGAGCTGCTACAACACAAGGCTTTTACTGTTAGATGGATCATTGATCACCTAAGGAACGCCGCGTCTGCGGTAGCTTTCCTTGGGGTTGATATCTCGACAGAGATCTACAAAA